GCTTGCACAAAATAGGCCCTTAATAAATATTTGTGGAATGAATTTTCTTCCAAGAAACATTAATAAGCACTGTTCTTCAAATTTGGGATATAATTTCAGGGGCTTGATGGCACTCCTAAAACCATGAAGCTCAGAAACTTAATCATAACCAGTCTTCTCAAATATTTCTCATACATCTCACTATAGTTTTAAAAATCATTACATACTGATCACTAGCAAATCTGCTACTTCTTTAGGCTAAATGTCTTCCCATAGTTCCTCATGCTCAAATCAAATGTCTATTCTCACCTCCACCTGAAGGTTCCATTAGGCAGAAGTCATTATCTATATCCAACTTGCTCATTCTCTCATATGAACAATGTTCATGAACTACTATCAAATCAGAAATTCAAGTCAGATATTTGAGTGTCATCACTGACTTATTTTTTCCTTTTCTTCTCATCTGCCATCAATCAATAACTCCTATTGTTCACATATAAGTGTCTTTAAAATCCATCATTATGCATAGCATCCATTCCCCATTGCCCTTGCACTAGTGGAATGATTCATTAGTTTTCATTGGATTATTTCAATAACTTCTCATTGGTTTCTTTACCTTTAGTACCACTCTTATAAGTATACAAGTCTCGTTAATTCTCTCCCTTTGCTAGACCTTTCAGATCCTTCCTTTGCCTAGAGAATAAAATAAAAATACCTTAGAATAGCCTTTGAGCCTTAAAGTCTAATGCTGCCGTGAAACTGAAGTAGCCTGCAGTGCTGAGCCAACATGTGGAGGACAGCTGCCTGGAGAAAGGCCTGGATCCACAGCAGACTTTGCCTAAGTGAGAAAGAAACTGTTGTGTGAAGCCACTGAACTCTTGGTGTTGTTTGTTACTGTAGATAATTTAGCCTATTCTGAATGACACAATACTCTTACATGGGCTTGCTCTTTCACCTCTGTATTCTTCCCCAGAACCAGCACGCCTACACATCACACTTTAATGTCTAGAACTGGTTCCAAATTCATTTCATATTCCAGATTTTATCATGCTATCTCACGTCTGTAGGCACTTACATACTCGGTTCTATTGGTCCTTAATGCTATTTTCTTCCTCATTTCTCTACAGAACTTCCTCTTATTTATCATTTGAAATCTTTCTTAAACATCAGCTTCTCTGGAAAATTTTCCCCAATCATTCAACATGGAAGTAAACACCACCTTTGTTCCTTATGCTTAAACTTTAAATTACACTTTAAATTGCATTTTGTCAAATTATAGAGCAATTTTTTTGTTGACTTGGGTCATTCTTTCATCACAATAATCTGAGGTTCTGAACAATATCCTTTGTACTTTCAACTCAAGAAATGCTTATTGAATGCATAGATGTCTAAATAAATTTTTAGAAAGATATCTAAAAAGGTAAACACACAATTAAGTCTATAATTATAAATTATGATGAATGCTACACAGAACTATGAGAGAGGATAATAGAAGGGCCTAATTTATGCAGAGTGGTCAGCAAAGTCATGGTGAACTGTTATTTAAAATCAATAGGATGAGTACAAGTTTGTTAGTGAAGAGCTGATGATTTCTCAGCGATGGACTACCCTACTTGGACATCACATGTGTGGAAACTCCCCATTTTTATAACCCAGTTCATAGAAATAATAAAGATATAGAAATGTCAACAGCTGCACTCAGAATCAAGAAAAGGAATGACCTGTGGATGAGGAAGTGGGAAAGTCCATAAAAGGAGGGTGGTGGATGAGAAGTTGTGGCAGTGAGTTTCCCACAGTGGGAACCCATCCTGACCACGTGGTAGGTCTTCACAGTCCTGCTGGGGCTGACAAGACTGTATGCAAAGTCAGTGGGAAAGGAGCAAGAATCACCAACACAGAAAAATTGCCAAACAAGAGTCAAAGCCTGTATATGGAAAAGTGATACTAAACTCAGTAAGAAAAGGATTTCATGGAAGGAAATAGAGTTAATAGAATCACAAGAACAGGATTTTAAAATAAACTGTCTCCAGCAAGTTAAAGGAGGGGATATCATCTATGAGACAAGGCGAAAGATTTGAAAGAAGAACAGGTTGAAATGCGAAAAAAAAAAAACAACTGGACAATTAATGAAATTACAGTAACAATTTTGCATTTATTAAATGTTTATTGAAATTAAAAAGTAAGATGCAATTGTAAGTATAAATAGCTGAATGGCTACAAATGAAAAATTAATTAATGATTTGAAAATTCAAGCTGAAGAGTTCTCTCAGATAAAGAGATCAGAAGTATAGAAAAAAATAAAGGGATATAGATTCTGAAGTTCTTACATATGTCTAATAGAATTTTCTTTAAAAATAAAATAAAGAGGGGGAATGTGAAACAAACTTTGATGATATATTGGCCTTAGAATTGGCCAAGAATTGAGAAAAGACAAGAATTCTCAGACTGAAAAGATCTACCAAGACCCAAGTGAGATATTTACATAAAATTAGACCTAGATTCCTTGTCATGAAAGGTCAATGTACTAAGAATAAAATTAGAATCTTAAAATTACCAATTTTTAAGAGAAAAAAAATGAAATTAGATTATCATTCAGACATTTTCACCAGCCACGTGGAAACAAAAGGGAAATAGAGAATATCCAAATGTGAAAAAAGAAAATATCTTTAAATTTATCATTTTTTACTAGCTGAAGGATTATGAAAGTGAAACTGAAATAATGACTCTACAAAGCCTACCATTTGCCGGCCCTTTCAGAAAGAGTTACTGGAGGATGTTGGAGCTGGTTAGCATTGGTGAAATTGTGGAAAAATAAACACGTTAGAACCTTGGTGTTTCAGACGGTAAAAAACCTACCTGCAGTGCAGGAGACCTGGGTTCAATCCCTGGTTTGGGGAGATCCCCTGGAGAAGGAAATGGCAACCCACTCCAGTATTCTTGCCTGGAGAATTCCATGGACTATTCCACGGGATTGCAAAGAATTGGACATGGCTAAGCGACTAACAATTTCAACACTTTCAAGTACACGTGTATCATGCTTGTCAGAACATAAAGTGGCCTGGCTACTTGGAATACAATCTGGGGATATTAACAAAATAAAAAGAGGCATATCCTACAAACCAATAATCTTACTTCAAGATATCTGTCTTAGAGAAACTTCCATTTGTGAACATATTTATTGTAGCATTATTTGTCAAGGTGAAAAACAGGCTTCAGTGGAGTAATGGCTAAATATAATATAGTCATACTATGGAACACAAAGCAACAATAAGAAGGGATATGAAAGATCTACTGATATATACATCAACCTGGATTTATCTCTAAGATTTACTGTTGAGTGAAATGGGCAGGTTGAAGAATGGTATGTGCGTTAGGATACTATTTATTTAATGAAAAAGCAATAGGTTCAACACGCAATACGTATTTTGCTCATATCATAGATATTTTGCATATATTTTCCATATACAGCTGAAAAAAGTGGTAGGAAATAAATCACAAATAACTAGTTACTTGTGTGGAGGATATGGTGAGACGCTTTATTCATATTTATAATAAGCAAAACTTTCAGTGGCTGATCAGGGCTGTTTAAGCAGGGGATTTTAAGGATAAAGGAGGACTCTGGGTATCGTGAGGAAAATGGATTTGGAGGCCAGTTTGGAGCCTGTGGCAGTACTTAGGACCATCGGGCACTCTGGGCACAGAGCCTGGGGCAAATGAAAATATTTTAATTTCTTTTAAAGTCAGAATTAAAAAATAAATAATGGATATATAATAAAGAATCCAGTTATCTTTGTAGCAATGCAACACTAAAATATAATGTTTGTTTATTTATTTATATTTTTATGAATAAAGCCCAGATTAGGAGAGAGAATGCCTGGATGGATCGGACTGGTGGTGGTGAACATCGAACCCAGAGGATAAAGACAAAATATATTTTGTCTTTCAGAAAAGTCTGAACCTGGCCGTGAATTGAGAGTGAGGAATTGAGGGAGAGGAAGACAGCAAAGACAACTCCCAGAATTCTGACTCAAGATTGTGTTGTTGCCACTTACTGAGATGGGGGAAGAGTGCAAGGGGGTGAGTGGGGGTCAGGGTGTAAGGAGCCTTGCATGCCACACTAGATGTGGAAAGTCTACTAGGCAGGCTGGGGATTTTCTCAACTCTGGGTAAATGAGAGTCATGTGGGGCGCTTGAAAAATTCAAATTTCTGCCACAGCTTCCAGACCTGATCCCATCCGAAATCTTGAAAGGGCTGAGAAACGCTGACATTTTAGGCCACAGAAAGGCAAGGTGTTTAAATGGAGAATGACACGATCAGATAGTGTTTTGTTTTGTTTTTAAATTCATAGTTGAGAACAGTAATGAGTTCTCGAGAGATTGGAGGATAATCTGGAGCTACAATACCTAACAAACCCAGGCTGCCTGATTCTCAGCCGCTCCCAGGCTAGGAAAAATTCAGTGGAACTAAAGCTGTTTGGAAAAGAGCTGAGACGACCTCCTGGCCAGACCCAGCCCAGAGCACAGCTTGGCTGAAGCCCGGGGGGCATTTGGAGCACATGGGCCTTGGGGCCATCAGCATTCTCTGGCCAAACTGCAGTACTAATTTAAATTGTCACAAAACAGTGAACCTGAACCATAATGACCTTTTTTTTTTTTAATGGTAATTATTTTAATTTAATTTTTTATTTATTTATTTATTTTTCCATTTATTTTTATTAGTTGCAGGCTAATTACTTTACAACATTGCAGTGGTTTTTGTCATACATTGAAATGAATTAGCCATGGATTTACATGTATTCCCCATCCCGGTCCCCCCTCCCACCTCCCTCTCCACCCCATCCCTCTTTTAAAAGCAGGATTTTAAGACCAAAAGTATTTCCCAAAAAAAGCATTGCAAGAAAGCTGGCCAACCCTCAGGTAATGATTTTAAAATGGTGGGCTTCAAAATATTTTCGGGCCTTAGATGAAGGGGCTAAAGCAGGAAGGGGCGCAGAGCTCTGTATGTGTCTTTACCCATATAGGACTGTGAACAAGCATGACCCTTCTGAAGACATGCCAGCAGACCCTGATAGTTGAGCAGAACGTGATGCTCAACGCTGCACTCATCAGGACAGTGAGGGTATTTGGGTAAGCTGTGGTAACTCTCCGGGCCTGAGTTGTTTTGTTTTTCCCCACAAGATGGGAGAAATGATAGCCCTTTTTTTTACATCTTGTTTCAAGGACACAGTTGTTCTTAAAGTCTTTTAAAGGAGTGATACCTTTGGGATTCTAAGGAAAGTCAATCTTCTCTGGAGAAAAGTATAAAATTTTCTTGTATCTAGATATTTATAAGACTGGTGATTAATCCTTGGTGAAGTGAAAGTGAAATTTGCTTAGTGGTATCCAACTCTTATGGATTTCTCCAGGCCAGAATACTGGAGTGGGTAGCCTATCCCTTCTCCAGGGGGTCTTCCCGACCCAGGAATCAAACCTGGGTCTCCTGCATTGCAGGCAGATTCTTTACCAACTGAGCTATGAGGGAAGCCAATCCTTGGTAATGTTTATAAATTGCCTGCGAAGCTCCTGGCCCTCTGTGGAGATTCAACCAATAGTAATTTTTATTAATATAATTAGAAAGTAAGAGTAAGGACCATGATAGGTATACAAAGAAAGTGGCTTTCAGGATGGGCCTGAAATGATGAGTAGGATTTCAAGAGGCCAAAAGAAAAACAAGAGCTACAGTAATGGCAAAAATTGAAGTAAGACTCAGTGATGAAGGGATTACCCAGAATGGGTAATACTACGGAGACTTAGCTCTTTCCAGGTGTGATATGCATTATTTACTTCAACCTCCACAATGAGATATTGTTAGAGAACAGGAAACAGAGAAAAGGAAATGTTCTTACTCAGAATTACCCACTTAACTTTGCTCCTGCTTCCTTAGCAAAGAATTGATTATCTTTCTGTCATTACAGGTTCATTTGCACTTTCTAGAGATTTAAGCCAACGGAATCATACAGCATATACTCATATTTGTCTGGCTTCTCTCACTTAGCATAATTATTTTGAGATTCCCTCATGTTGTTACACATGTAATTAGTTCATATGCCATGATTTGCTTATTCATCTGTTCATGGACACCTGGATTATTACCAGGTTTCAGCTATTACAAATAGAGCTTCTGTGAACATTCATATATGTGTCTTTGTTTGGAAAGATGCTTCCATTTTTATTTGGTCCATCTCTAGGAATGGGATGGCTAGATCAGATAGTAGGTATATGTCTAATGTTTTAATACACTACCAAACAGGTCTCCAAAGTGGTTGTACAATTTTACATTACCACCATAGTGAAGAGCATTCCAGTTGTGCCATACTTTTGCTCAAACTTGGTAAGTTCGATTTTTGAAAAATTTAAACCATTATCATATATATGTAGAGGTATCTCATTGGATTTTAATTTGCATTCCCCTAATAATTAATAATTTTGAGCATTTTTAAGTGTTTTCATTCATGTATCATTTTTGGTAAATTGTTCAAACCTTTTGCCTGTTTTTAAATTGTGTTTTTACCTAATTATTGATTTATTTATATATGAGTCCACTGTATATCAGACTTCCTAGGTGGCACTAGTGGTAAAGAATTTGCCTGCCAATGCAGGAGACACAGGAGCCATGGGTTTGCTCCCTGTGTCAGGAAGATCCCCTGGAGGAGGAAACGGCAACCCACCCCAGGATCCTTGCCTGGAGAATCCCATGGACAGAGGAGCCTGGCTGGCTACAGTCCATGGGGTCATAAAGAGCCCTACATGATGAAGAGTCTAAGCACACCACTGTATATCAGATGCATAATTTGCAAATATATCTCCCTTGTCCATAGCTTGTCTTTTCATTACTTTAATGTTTTCTGCAGAGGAAAACTTTTTAATTTTGATGAAGTACAAGATCAATTTTTTTCTTCTATAGATCATGCTTTTGGTGTTGTATCAAGGAAATCTTTGCTTAACCCCAGCATTCACAATAATAAAATACCATGTACTGGGGATTTAAACAACAGACATTTATTTTTCAGTTTGGAGGCTGGGAAGCCCAAAAGCAAAGTGCCAAAGATTGGGTTTCTGGCGAGAGCGCTTTTCCTGGTTTGCAGACTGCCTTCTTGTGGTGTCCTCACATGGGAGAAGGAGAGGGTGTCTTTTCTTATAAGGGCGCTAATCTAATCACGGGCACTGCCCTCATGATCTCCTCCAAGCTTAATTACTTCCCAGTTTCCACCTCCAAACTATCTCATTGAGGTATAGGGCTTCAACATACGAATATTGGGGGATACAAATGTTCAGTCTCTAACACCAAGGTCACAATAGTTTTTCCAGTATTTTATTTTTTTATTCCCTGTATTTTCTTCTAAAATTTTTAGATTTAGATTCACTTTAGGTCTATGATACTATGATTTACATTTAGGTCTATGATCCATATGCAGCTGATTTTTGTATATTGCACAAGATTTGAATTGAAGCTCATTTTTTAGCAAATAGATATCCAATTGTTTCAGCATCACTTGTTAAAAAGGACAATCCTTTCTCCACTGATTTGCTTTTACACCTTTGTCAGTTGTCCTTCAGTGTGGATTTGTATCTGGTTTCTCAATCTGTTCTGTTCATTTATTTATGGATTTATGCCAGTACCACATTGTCTTAATTACTGTAGCTTTAGAAAAACCTAGAAATATGTAGTGTTAGCTCTCCTGCATTGTTCTTTTTCAAAGCTGTTTTAGAAATAGTTTGTTAATTCCTACCAGAAAGCCTGCTGTGATTTTGATTGGAATTTTGTTGAATCTATACATCAGTTTGGGGAAGAATTGATATCTTAAGAATAATTAAGTGTTCATATTAAGAACATTCAGTATTCTCCTTTTTTTTTTTTTCATTCAATAAACTTTTATTGACCTCCTTTCAAAGACAATGGGCTGCTTTTCTGGGCCTGATGTCCTCTGCTAGCGATCAGAAGTCATTTTGTGGCATTTGCTCAGCGTTCAAATGTTCTTTTGATGAATTTGTAGGGGAGAAAGTGGTCTCCCCGTCCTATTCCTCCACCATCTTAGCTCCTCCCGAACATTCAGTATTCTTAAGTGAACACCGTATATCTCTTCACTTATAAAGTTCTTTAAAATTTCTCAGTAATGATATGTTGTTTTTAGTGAATAATTCTTATCTACCTATTGTCATATTTATCTCTAGGTCTTTCATAAATTTTGATTTCATTGCATATGACATTTTTATTTTGATTTCTGATTGCTTATTGCTAATATAGAAATAGAAGTGATTTCTTTCTGTCTTCTGCAATCTTACTGAATTTACATTTTAGTTATAATAGCTTTTTTTAAGATCCCATCAGATTTTTTACATAGATGATCATATCATCAAAAGAATAAACACAGTTTTACTTCTTTTCTTTATCTTGCTTTGTTGCACTGGCTGTAACCAAAAGCGTAATATTGCATAGAAGTAGACACTGAACATCAAAGTTTTATTCCTGATCTTATGGAGAAAGCACTCAGTCTTTGCCATTACGTTAGTTGCTAACTGTGGGATTTTTGTAGCTGTCCTTTATCAGATTGAGGAAGTTCCCATCTATTCCTAGTTTGCTGAGAATATATACCAGGAATGGCTGTTGGATTTTATCAATTATTTTTTTCTGCCTTTATTTATTTATTTATTTAGGCCATGCCACACGGCTCATGGGATCTCAGTTCCCCGACCAGGCAGTGGAAGCACAGAGTCCTAACCACTGGACCCCCAGGGAATTCCATTTTCTACTTCTATTTCATTTGTTAATATTTAAAATGTCAGTGTTAAAAATTTACCACGTTAAAAATATGGTAAATTACATTGATTTATTTTCTTGACTTTTTCAGAAAGTTAATCTTGCGTTAACTCTATTTGGTTATGATATATTAATCTTTTTGTGTATTGTTGAATTCAATTTTATAACATTTTTAAAATAATTTTTTACATATGGTTTTGAGGCATATTGGTATGATGTTTTCTTGTAGCATTTTAATATGATTTTGGTATCAGGAAAACACTGGCTTCAAAGAATGAGTTGAGAGGCATTCCCTTCTCTTCAATTTTCTGAAAGAGTTTGCATAGAACTGGTATCCTTTCTTTCTTAAGCATTTCTTAATACAATGAAGTTATATAGGCTTGAGTTTCCCCCCTTCTTCTCTGTGGGGAGATAATTTTAACTACAAATTCCATTTATTTAACAGATAAAAGGTTATACAAGTTATCTGTTTCATCTTGAGTAAATTTTTGTGTTTTTCAAGGAATTTGTACTTTTTATCTATTCTGTCTTTTTTTTTTTTCCCATTTATTTTTATTAATTGGAGGCTAATTACTTTACATCATTGCAGTNCCTTTTTTATTTCTGAATTTGGTAATTTGTATCTTCTCTGTTTTTGTGCTGATCAGTTTTTATAGAAGTTTGTCAATTTTATCACCTCCTCGAAGAGGCTGCTCTTGATTTCATTGATTTTTTCCCCCCAACATATCTCTATTACATATTTTTAATGGATTTATCCTCCAGTTCTTTAAAGTTGTGTATCTGGAAAGGTCTTTACCCTTCTCTTGTTTCAAAAAGATACTTTCATGGAAGCAAAAGTCTCTATTATTCTGAATGCAAAGAAAGGCATAATTAAAATCACAGTATACATATATCAAGCACTTAGTTTATGCCAACAACCTTCTGAGTTAAGCATCATTATTATTTGCATTATACAGACTTGGAGACCAAGGCTCAGAAAAATTTAAGTTTTCCAGTGTCATATACCCAACAAGCAACAAAGCGACGTTCACACAAATCCAGAGTCTCTAATCTTAACCACAAGAGAGACAAGATTCTGCTGTCTATCAAGAAAATAGAGGACATATGAGTACACAGTCCAGGAAATGCCTCATGTTTATAGTCCTGAGAGAAAAAACAAGTCACTTGAGAGTCATTCTAGACTTTTTCCAGGACAATGGTTGTTGTAGCCACACGTTCCGGGAACCAAGCTCACTCAGAAGGACAATGCAGATAGTGGAGTCCAGTTTATTACACCGGCGGGCCCAAGGCAGAGTCTCTTCTTAGCCAAGGACCCCGACCAGCATTTGTGAAAATCTTTTATACCCCATGTGTACGTGTCCAAATCCACCACCCCAAATTCCTTGAGACTTACATAAACTAAGGAAGGGTAAATACAATCCCAATAACCCCATCACTTATGTGCCATGTGCTCAGACAGTTAAACAATTAGCCAATAATCAGTAAGCACGAGGTTACACTTCGACAGGTACAGAAAAATTTATGGCCTGTCTGGAGGAAGGGGTGATTAGTGTGTGTGTTCTCTTAGGCGATGAGTAACCTGGATACGATCTTCAAGGGTCCCCTGTCCGGAAGGGGTCTTATCCTTCTGTTGTCGTTTCCATAGGCACTAAACACAGAGTGCAGAGTCCATTGGAGAGATGGCCGAGCAGGATCAGCATGGACAGGCCTGAGATGGAGTCCAGGCCCCATGAATTCCTTCTTCATGGTCTTAGCAGGAAACTCCTGGGACCCTGTGAAACCATACAGCTCCCCAGAGACACTTACAGAGAACACAACCAACAAAGCTCCAGGACATAGCTTATTGATCAAAGCCGCTGAAGTCATTCCCAGAGCCTGAGAAATCTTCATAAAATTAGCAGCTGGGGGTTGGAATGGGTGTTGGTTCTAAGAAGGCATTTCCCTATGGATGGCTGCACACACTCAGATGAAAAGACAGCCTCGCTGATAGTGTTGGGTGGGGTAGCATGTTCTTTTCTCAAATGTTCTGTGGAAGTAGCATGGATAAAACAAAGAACACTGGGTCTGCATGCATGCTACCTGAATGGATGGATTCAGATCTAAGAACCTGAGCAATCCATGTTGCTTGCCTGGGCCTGTTTCCTCATCTATAACAAAAAGACATGAGTGGTGGTTCAGCCTACCATTTGGTGCTACAAAAGTGAGAAGGATAATTATTGTTGTTAATACTTTTCTGAATGTTTCAGGATTCTGCACGGAGATACCATGAAACCATTTTATATCACACACTGAAAACTGAAATATACCAAAAAAGCTGCACCAAGTTAGGATTTGGAACAGAAATTATTTACAAAATAGGCAATGCTACTGGGCATGTTTTGGTCTTCAATTAAATTCTTTTTAAACTCTGGCTCCATGGTGTAATGGTTTTGGAATTAGTAATAATAAAACATTAGTTACACCAGTGAGTAATGGTTTTATTTAAAACAAGATGAAATGTTAACCCAGTGATGCCCAGAACCAAACATAAGGCCTCTAAGTGAATGTTAGAGGCCATTGGTGGGGTCATTGCTAGTAACCGTTAGGTGGAGGGCTGAGATATACACAGCACAGCTCCCTGCATCTCACCTCATTATTTCACCTTGCTGTTTTATCTGTGTCTTAAAATCCTTTTGGAAGCACTCAATATTGACCTTTTTTTTTTTTTTTTAACACTGGCAGAGACACTGGGATTCAGAAAAATTGATTTGGTCAAAGTCTCATGGCTTGCAGGGGTGCAGGATCTGATATGAGGTGTCAGCTGGGGCAGGTGCTTGCGTAACTGGGGAGCATCCACTATCTTAGAACAGGGATAATACCTACTTCAGGTGCTTACTCAGGGCTTGATGCTTACTTAAAGTAAAGTTGCTCAGTCATGTCTGACTCTGCGACGCCATGGACTGTAGCCTACCAGGCTTCTCCGTCCATGGGTTTCCCAGGCAAGAATACTGGAGTGGGTTGCCATTTCCTTCTCCAGGGGATCTTCCCGACCCAGGGATCTGACCCAGGTCTCCTGCATTGCAGGCAGACGCTTTACCCTCTTGAGCCACCAGGGATGCTTACTTAAGTACGAAATAAAAGTTAGCTATTCTTCTTCATCTCCCACCTCACTTTCCATTGCGGCACACGGGGGTCTTGGCAAACACAAGCACAGCCACAGGCAAGCTCCCACTTCCATAGTCAGTCCCCCACCCACCACAAACGTGCCCCAACAAACCAGTCTGGAATGGAGTCCATTCTGCTCCTCTCCGGGCTTGTGAGTCCTGGGCTTTGGAGGTCTTCCCCCCAGGGCTCCTTTCCCTCCCTCTGCCTGGGAGAACTTCAGAACTTCAGCCTGGGGCTATCCTCACCTGATTCTGGTGACTTCCCAGGGGTGGGAGTGAGGGCAGAAGGGCTGGGGGGGGCAGTGCTTCATTTNCTGAGGACCTGATTATTCAGCTCTGCTTCCTGAGCATAGTCAGAACCTCCCAAATTGTGGTTAAAGAGGGTAAAGTTCTCAAATCTCTTCTGAGTAGATAGAGAAGACAGGCTATAAAAAGAAATAAGAAAGGAAAGAGTTTTCTCAGCAGGAAAGACAGGTATCTGATTTTCTTGGACCCTCTATTGCTTCTTCAGAGACCACCCATGCCTTCCAACAAAAATCTCTGGGGCTAAGCTTCTGCAGCTGCCGTCCAAAGGGACACAGGCAGCAAGGGAGCCGTGGCCACATTCCAAGAACTTAAAAGTTCATGAGACCTTGGGAGGAATCTCAGAGCTCAGCCACCCAATTCTTCTTCTGATGCTTGAGTCTCTATCAGCCTCTGAAGGGAACTCACTACCATTCAAAAGCTTTGATAACTCAGAGTCCTAGAAAGTTCTTTCACTGGACACCAGAACAGGGCTGTGCTTTCTTGTTCACTCTGATATTCTTACTCCCCCTGCCCCCATAGGGTTCAATAAGTACTAGTTGAATGAGTGGATGGATGAATGAACTAATGAGCAGACATTCTGCCCAGTTTATGTGGTTAGAAGCACAGTGTTCCTATGAAGGAGGGTGGCAGCAGTGAGCCTGGGACGCTGCTTCTGTGACCCACCCAGCCAGTGCCTTGCTGAGGGTAGGAGCCCTTTGAACTTGAGACGGATGGGGGAGCTCCAGACCAAGAGGTCCCTGGCACAGGGAGACGACTCTTTCAAGTGTTCTGAGTGTCAGGGCCCAGTGGCAGCCTTCCTCCACGGCAATGACTTATTACATTCCTGAGTAAGTGAAGGGAAATTCAATCCATATGTTCTGGAGTTATTTGCACAATACTCAGCAAGATGCTGCTGTTGTGTAAGAGCCGTTTGACGTCGGTGGCATGACTTTCTTCTATCTGTTCTGAGAAGAGTTCCTGAAGAAAAGCCAATTCTACTGTCCCTGAAGAGAGAGGGGATGGAGCACAGGGGCCAAGTCGTCTAGGGCCATCCTGCAGGCAGCTCAGGGCTCGGGGAGACCGGCAAGTCTCAGGAGGCCGAGGAAAGGGAGACTCCCGCCCAGCTCTGCGCCCACATGGGCTCAGCCAGCTGCTGCCAGAACAGCCTCAGTGGCGGATGGGGTGGAAATAGCTTAAGCAGTTGCTGAAGAACAGGGAGGAAAAGCGGTCGCATTGGGAAGATGGGGGCATCAGAAAGAGCACCTGGGTTGCATTCTGGTGTAACTTTGGGTAAGTTACTTCCTCCCTCCCAGCCTCAATTTCCCCTTTTGCAAAGTGTGAGGCTACACTCATGTTTCACCATCCTCATGCATCCTGATAGTCTATTCTAGGACCCTTTTTTGTGTCTTACTATGAATATTATCTGGCAATACCTGGATAATATTTTTACCACAATCCTTAGTAAGAAATACATTTCACAGAGTAACTAAGTATACGTAACTGAAACAAAGTTTTCATAAATCAAGGCTTACCCTTCCTGCAAGCACTGACATGTTGATCAATGGAAAGCAGAGAGAATCCAGAAATAAACCTACACATTTATGGTCAAGTGATTTCCAACCAAGGTGCCAAGGCAATTCAATGAATAAGAACAGCTTTTTTAGGTGGTGGTGGCACAATTGGCTATCCATATTAAAAAATACATACATACATATATGCATATGTACACTCACGATGCTTCATATGACACACACAAGTGAATTAAAAATGGATCCTAGATTGAGATATTAAGAGCTAAAAGTAAGTAGTGAACTATGTGTTTGTGTTAACAGCAAGGATGAACCCTCATGAACATTATGTGAAGTGAAAGAAGACAAACATGAAAACTAAATACTTTGTGTTTCCATTTATGTGACATTTCTAGAAAAGGCAAAACCTTAGAGACGGAAAGCAGATCATAGGTTTACTTGGGCTGTAGGGCTGTGTGGGGGGGAACTAATAGGTGTGGGGGAACTTTGTGGAGTGACAGCAGTATTCTAAAACTGTGATGAATGTTATTCAGCCCTGTAAATGAGCTAAAACTCATCCAATTGTACCCTAAAATGGGTGAACTTTACAATATACACATTATAACTCAAAGAGATATGACAACTAATAAAATTAAACCCGAAGGATAAAGATGATACATGATTTGTTCAATTGTGTTGTTTTTTGGGTGTGATGAGTTAGTTCTGGACCATCTCTTATTGTCTTATTAGTCTCTCTTCATAACATCCACAGCATCACTGCACATAAATATACTACTCATGAATACTAGTCATTTGAAAAGATTAGAGTGATTAGGTTTATATTGAACACTAAAACTTTTTAAAGGAGTTTATAAGCCTGAGCAAGTTTTCTAACATTACGTAACACCACCAAATGCCGTTCAGTTCAGTTCAGTTCAGTCACTCGGTGGTGTCTAATTCTTTGCGACCCTATGGACGGTGGCACGACAGGCTTCCCTGTCCATCACCAACTCCCGGAGCTTGCTCAAACTCATGTCCATTGAGTTGGTGATGCCATCTAGCCATCTCATCCTCTGTTATCCCCTTCTCCTCCTGCCTTCGATCTTTCCCAGCATCAGAATCTTTTCCAATGAGTCAGTTTTTCTCATCAGGTGGCGAAAGTATTGGAGCTTCAGTTTCAGCATCAGTCCTTCCAATGAACATTCAGGACTGATTTCCTTTAGGATTGACTGATTTGATGTAGACCATAATTAGCCATAGTTTCAGGTATATAATTTGTCATACTCCCCAAAGGCATAATCTGATAGCTCTGAATACTTGCAAAACACAAGGAAAAAAGTTCTGTTTCTTTTTAGTAGCTTAGTGTGGCAACCAGACACCTCCAAAGATTTTCTAATCAGTTCAGTAGCTTCCAAACCTAACTGATCATGAGAATGATTCATGGAGAGCCTCCTACCTCACTCACAAGACCCAGGCCATCAGAGCATCTGAGGGGTGGAGATTTAGGATTCTTTAGCCTTAGAAGGACTTCCTAGGTGGTCAGGGAGATTGGTGAGTTTCATTTGGTGAGATCATTGTGATTAGATTTGAGATAGAGCACAATGAACTAGTTTCCAGTTACAGTTAAAAGATCAAAGTTTGCAAATGAATGACTTAAATATAAAGCAGAGTATAGATTAAGTTGTCTCAACAATCACACCACCCACTCTTCCTCACTTTCATTCCTTTAGAAAGGGATGGAGTAACAGCCTTAAGCGAGAATTCTGCAAATCCCTGAATCCTACATTGATAACCTCAAATTCTTAGCTTTTAAAAGTCTCATAATCCTTTTTAGTTAAATGGAGAATATAATCAATTTTTATTTTTTAAAAATAGTTGGCTGCCATTAGGTTAAGTTGCCCTTTTTTGTATTTTCAGATGCTAATTTTTAAACCAAGTGCAGAATTTACATTTGCATGGTTAAAGTCAGTTTTTAGGTCTTCATTTGAGACTCAACATTTTTTTTAACTCTTAATCTAGTTATTTAATGAACTCTATTTCTCCCAGGTTTACTTATCAACTCAAATTTTGACAAGGTAAGTTTACTTATTTACACTATTTGTTTTCTTTTGTCCCTTACTTTAGTCAACCTGTAAACCTATTTGCATTCACACTTCCTCTTATCATCTGCCTCAGGAAAGGAGGGTCCTGCCTCTGGGGGCTCAGGACCGCTCCCCAATCCTGCCTGCGCTCTGGGAGCCCCACCTCTGTCTCCTGGACCCTCTGCTCTGATGTCAGCCCATGCGTCCTCCAGCGCATGGAAAAATATCCCAGTCTTTCCCATCTAAAACCAAAATGCTTCCACACTATCAGTCCCTTTCCACTCAGCCTCCATTCCCCTTTTCATTTTCTTTCCTGGTCAAGCTTCCAGAAGGAAAATCCCCTGAGTGTTAGTGCTTCTCTCCTGCAGGGACTTCCTACCCTCTGCTGTCTGGCTTTTTTTCCCACTGTTCAATAAACCACTGCTGGATAGAGTCAGTAACGACTGTGTAGTTGTCCAAATCCCATCAACCCATTGTCTCTTCATACCTAATTTAACTTCTGTGTTGAGTTTGTTTTGAGGAACTAGTCTCTCCTTTTTTTCATGTGTGTGTGACTGTCCCTATTTTATTTTTTAAATTAATTTTTTAATTGGAGGAAAATTGCTTTACAATGTTGAGTTGGTTTCCTCCATACAGCAATGCAAATCAGCCATAACTATACACATATCACCCCCCTCTTGAGCCTCCCTCCCTTCCCCTCATTCCCTCCCCCTAGGACATCATAGACCACCAGGTTGGGCTGTTTTACACATGGTATGTGGATGCCACTTTCTTCATTTGTTCCACTCTTTCC